CGTCGACCGATTGAGCAAGATGGCTCATTTGGCGGCGGTGCCAGACACCATCGACGGGTTCGGTACAGCAATGCTATTCGTGAATCGTGTTTTCAGACAACACGGACTCCCAGAGTCGGTTGTCTCTAAAAGAGACCCCCTTTTTACGGGAAATTTGGTCGACTATCTTCAAAGTGCTAGGCACCAAGTAGGATATGTCGACAGCGGATCATCCGCAGACCGATGGCCGAACCGAAAGGGTGAATTGCGTCATCGAAGACGCTCTTCGCAGCGGTTGCGCTGAGATGCCGAGGGGCTGGAGCGCCATGTTGTTACTCGTAGAGTTTGCGATGAACAATGCATTTCATCCGTCTACCGGCTACGTGCCGTTGTACGCGAACGGGCTGGTTCACCCTCGCGTCTCACGGACGCCGGCATCCCATGGCTCAGGGGTTGGTGGGGGAGGAATAGCCGAACGACTAGCTGATGTCAACTCCCTCGCCATCCGCAAAGAAGTCGATGACTTCTTGTCTACCAGACTGAGTGTCCTACGACACGTTCGCGATGCGATGGCTGAAAGCCAAGACCTGCAGAAAGAATATGCAGATGAAAAGGGTACAGGCAAAATGGAAAGGTTTAAGGTCGAAGACTTGGTTTTATTAAACTCTAAAAACCTTTCTAAACATGCATCCTCTGCTATCTTCCGGACAAAGCTTCGTTCACGGTTTATTGACCGTTTAGGGTCCATCACCCGCATACGCGGTGCGGATCAAATCCGTCACACCGATCCTGTGGTGCAGTGATATGCTGTTCACTTCAGAACCGGGAGGTCCAGGGTTCAATCCCCGGGCCGGGTAGAGAGGGGTTAGAGTGTAATGATTAAAACCCTACAGCATGTGCTTGACATGGCTTACACAACTCCTAAAAAGGCATGTCCTTCCTAATCATATCAAATGTCACAGACGACGTTACAGTTGTAACATGAGCAAGCTCATAGTCTGGTCTGCGTGACAGCGCATCAGCCATCCCGGCTTATACTTCACCTCAGAGTCATAATTCGCAAAGAAGGATAGCCATCAAGCCATCCTTTGCGAGAGGTGGGGCGACTGAGTCGCAGTGCGTAGTGACGCATGATCTGTATATATCACAAATGGTTTCGGGCCGAGCAGGTGGACCCTGAACTCGACAAGTGCATACGTCATCGCAAGTAGCTCCTTGTCATGAACCGGGTAGTTCTTCTCTGCAGCTTTGAGCTGTCGAGATTTGAGCGCGATCACCCGATCTCACCACTCGGCTA